AATCTTTGAAACAGAGCAGGGAGAGAAAAGTGCTGGTGTCCACTGTATAATAAACTTCAGTGGTTTGTTTGTGTTCTTTTTTTTTTTGCAAAGATTGAAGCCATTTTTTAGGAAATGAAGAGCTAGAAATTCTCCAAGACTTGTTTGTAGACTACATAGTAATCTATTGTCTTGCCTCTATTCAAGAATCTGTAAACTTTCTGCCCCCACACTTTGAATATATGAATCTGCCACTAAATCTTGGGGACATCATGACCATGGTTGACTTTGCCTCTCTGGCTCCATAATTCCAATGAAGCGGGGTTCCAAATATTTTGGCATTTAATCTTTTTTCTTCAGTTCACTTTGGGTCTCCATTCTCTATTATCATCACAAGAAATATTAAAGAACTAGAGGCCTGGTGCATGAAATTCGTGCACTCGGGGGGGGGGTCCTCAGCCCAGCCTGTGCCCTCTAGCAGTCCAGGAGCCCTTGGTGGATGTCCAACTGATGGCTTAGGCCCGCTCCCTGTGGGTGAGGCTCCTGCCACCACCGCTGCACTTGCCAGCAGTGAGCCTGGCTCAGGTCTTCTGGTTGAGCGGCGTTCCCCCGTGGGAGCACACTGACCACCAGGGGCAGCTCCTGCGTTGAGCATCTGCCCCCTGGTGGTCAGTGCATGTCGTAGCAATCGGTCGTTCCGCTGCTTGGTCGATTTGCATATTAGCCTTTTATTACCACCAGGGGCTCCTGCGTTGAGCATCTGCCCCCTGGTGGTCAGTGCATGTCGTAGCAATCGGTCGTTCCGCTGCTTGGTCGATTTGCAGCATAGCCTTTTATTATATAGGATTCCATATTACTTTAATGGCTCATTTCCCAATATATGACAGTCACTTTTTAAAGTATGTTTAGGCTGCCTGGCTGGTGTTTCTCAGTGGTTGAGCATCAACCTATGAACCAAGAAGTCACAGTTTGATTCCTGGTCAGGGCACATGCCCGAGTTGCAGGCTAGATCCCCAGTGTGGGGTATGCAGGAGGAAGCTGATCAATGATTCTCTCATCATTGATGTTTCTATCTTCCTCTCCCTCTCCCTTCCTCTCTAAAGTTAACAATAAAAATATATTAAAGTATGTTTAGGCTAAAAATTTAGTCTTTTGGTATTACCCAAACAATTTAAATATTTGTAGAAAAAGTAAAAACCTACTTTTTCAATAGTTTATCAATATTACTACTGAGTTCACAAACTATGAGAATAACAAAAGACCTACTCTTTTACTTCCTCTTAAATTCCAATTATTGAATCATAAATGGTACTCCATTTGAGATGATATTTTATTTTTTTATTTATTTTTTAATTAAATCTTTATTGTTCAGGTTACATTTGTTCCTCTTTTTTTCCCCCCCATAACTCCCCTCCT